TTTATTTATTTATTATGTATACAATATTCTGCTTCCATGTATGTCTGCACACCAGAAGAGGGCACCAGATCTCATAACAGATGGTTGTGAGCCACCATGTGGTTGCTGGGAATTGAACTCAAGACCTCTGGAAGAGCAGTCAGCGCTCTTAACCTCTGAGCCATCTCTCCAGCCCCCCATATTCTTTCTTACTCACTCATTTTCTGAGCCTCTGGAACACAACTTGTACAATGATCATATACTTTATTAATATTTATTTTATTATTTTTATATTTGAGTGTTTGTCTTCATGCATACATATGTACCATGTTCATGCCTGGTGCCTGTGAAGGTCAGAAGAGGGTATTAGATCCCTGAGACTGGAGTTACAGATGGTGGTAAGCTGCCAGGTGGGTACTGGAAATGGAACCCCCGGTCCTTTGCAAGAGCAATAAGTGCTCTTAACCACCAAGCCAACTCTTTAGCCCCTGTTTTTTCATTTTTAAAAGATTTTATTCCTATTTTTAATTATGGGTATGCATGTGTGTCTATGTTGCTGTATGTGCTTGGTGGGCATATTTGCTCTTGAAGGCCATTGGGTCCCCTGGAGCAGGAGTTACAGGCAGTTGTAAGCTGTCCAAAGTGGGTTCCGGGTACTGAACTCTGGTACTCGGTAAGGGCAGCAAGTGCTCTTAATCACCGAGCCATCTCTCCAACCCCCCATATATGCTTTATTTATTCTGTCTCCTGAGAACCTAGAAGATGGTTGGTATCTGCCAGGGAGAGTAGAGAAAGAAATCTGTATGGTGGGGAACAGGGGACATTTTGTTCATTTGTTTTTGAATGGGAACCCCTGGTTTGGTGCTGATCAAACTTTCACATGCCTGGTGAGCATCCGAGGATCTTGTTAACACGTGGACTCTGATTCTGCCTTCTGGGTGAAGATTCTGCGTTTCTAACAGGCTCCCAGCGAGGCTCAGACCGCTGGTCCACAAATCACTTTGTGAGAAGTAACGCTCTGGACCTCTTCAGTATGTTGCTTAGAATGAGCAAATGGAGATGTGGAGATTAATTAGGGATGAAGCAGAAGTAACTAGCAGCAGAGACTTTCACAACTCTCAAGGGAGAGAGCCAAGAGAACCACAGGGGGGGGGGTGTGTTATCAAAGGCACATAGCAATATGCCTCATTGGAAGGGAAAGAAAGGAGACAGGCTGAGAACTCCGAGGGATGTTCTCATCTGGTGGCGTTGACCTTTCCCACGGGCAGTTAGCTGAGAGTGAGGGTGGAGGTGGAGTGTGGGAGCTCTGAAAAGCAGTCATTTTCTTCCCAGGAAGTATCCGGGATGCATTTAAAGTCAGACCCATCAGCTCTGTTGTGTAATTTTCTCAACATTAATCTGCTTGGGGGCAGATTGGAGGAGGACGATAGATTCAGGCGGAGTGAGACGGGCTGAGGAAGTGGGGAGGGAGCTTTTAGTGTGGCACGACATGCCTGGCTGGGACCCTGCTGCTCAGCTCTGTTTTTGTGGGGCCACAGTCCAGAGGTGGAGTGACCTGATGCAATCACGCAAACACACATCTGTATACACATGCATGTACTGAATCTGTAACTAATCTGTACATTTATGACTGCTATGACTAATCACCAGTGACCCTGCTCCCATCCTCTGAGCCTTATCTTCTGCCACACTTGACTGATTTCCCACTGCCCCAAGCTACTAGGTCTCTGCTTGAGAACATGGCAGGCTAACCCGACCAGGGAGCCAGTGCCCTGAGAGCAAGCATCATTCAACCAGTAGCTAAAAGGGATGGCCCTGTAAATACTTCGGGCACTAACCACACTGACTCCCAGAGGGAGGCATGGAGTGTGATGTGGTACCGCCTTGCTTGGCAGGGCTCTGTGTACATAAACTGTCTTCCCTAGCCTCCTGTCTCCACTTGCTACCGGCGGTTTTCTAGATCCCTGTCCAGGCTCAAATCCTTGCATCAGTGTTTTCTGGGGGATTCCAAACTGACCTATGTCCAGTCATAAACTCGGATGCCTGCCAGGGAGACAGGTACAGGCCACTGACTGGGAGCAGGTCTCCTCTGCTCCAGTGTGTGAGTGTGGGTGTCAGGGAAGGGCAGGAGGATGCATTTGTGAGGTGGGATCTGAAGGGTAATGGCAGAAGGGGACAGGGTACGTTTGAAAGTCTGGAGAGTCACAGGGCTGTGGCAAAGGTTGGAAAGAGAAAGTGAAACTTGGAAGTCTAAACCCTATAGGGCCTTGTAGGGTGCAGTCAGGAATTTGACCTCTGTATTCAGAGAACTTTGAGGAGCCAGTAAAGGGTCTATCATAGGACAAAGACAAGACTTGACCTGCCTCAAACAACAAGGTGGGGGTGGAGGGGCAGGGGGCACAGGAGATGAAAGGGATGCAGTTGTCTCTGTGATGACTCCAGGCTCTAATGATAGTTTGCCTGGGAAGGGAGGATATCAGCATGTGTTTGCCAAAATGGACAGTTAACTATTAACTGCATCCTTGATTGACCAGAACACCCCATTTCCTGTCTATAGCAAAGAATGGTTCCCCTTACTAACGTCCACAAAACACCCCTCCCCCACTTTCCCTTGGTAGCTTCTCTTAACTTTACCAGCCCTTTCTCTTTGGGATGGTATGGACAAGGTTAACTCCCTTCTCCCTTCCCTCATTCTATCCTTTCCTCTTTCTTGTCTCTTCTTCATTCCTCCTCTTTTCTGCCTTCCTCTTTCTTTCTCTAACTGATTCTATTTAATAATCATTTCCTCCATTTCAGTGAACCAAGGCATCGAACACTTTTTATTCTTTTTTAATGATTCATTATTTTTTATGTGCATTGGTGTTTTGCCTGCATGGGTGTCTGTGTGAGGGTGCCGGATCCCTTGGAACTGCAGTTATAGACAGCTATGAGCTTTCCAGGTCCTTTGGAAGAGCAGCAATGCTCTTAACTGCTGAGCCAGCTCTTCAGGACCCTGGCAATGAATTCTTATCTGTGGCCATCTTAAGATTCTTCATGTCACTAGCAGAAACAGAGTTACAATTTGAACCAGGTCATTTAAAAGTAGGTCTTAGCTGAATGGTAATGGCACACACCTTTAGTCTCAGCACTAGGGAGACAGAAGCAGGCAGATCTCTGTGAGTTCAAGACCAGCTTGGTCTACAGAGTGAGTTCCAGGACAGCCAGGACTGTTTCAAACACACACACACACACACACACACAAAAAAAAAAAAAAAGAAAAGAAAAGAAAAGAAAAGATGTTCACAAGCACATCCATGTCTTTGGTAAGGTTACTATATATGTCCTCGGCAAGCACTTATTTTCGTCTTTTTCTCCCCCTTCTTCCTCCTCTTTTCTCCCTACTTCTTCTCCACCTCTTCTTCCTCTTCTGCAGTAGTCATTTTTTTGTTTGTTTTTGTTTTTTTGAGACAGGGTCTCTCTGTATAGCACTGGCTGTCCTGGATCTCGCTCTGTAGATCAGGCTGGCCTAGAACTCACAGAGATCTGCCTGCCTCTGCCTCTTGAGTGCTCGGAGTTGTTTTAGTGCGGTCTTGCTGTGTAGTGTGGGCTTGTCTCAAACTCATGATTCTGTTTCAGCGCCCCCTAGTGCTGGCATTGCAGTCATGCACCACCACGCCTGGCTACACTTAATCTTTTAATGAAAAATTCCATTCTAAAGGTAATTTGGATAAAATTGTGGATGTGGGTATATATATTAATTACAGTCTTAAAAATGAGACATGTTTCAACAGACAAAAAAGTGGAGACTCAAACGCAGAGATGGCATATGCCTATGTGGCTTCACTTGCAGCTAAGGTCAATAAATTACCACAGGACACACCAGAAGTGTAGAATGACATGAACCAGCCAGGCGGGTTGGATTTATGGTGCTGCAGAAAGTAACACAAGAGCAAAGTCCTGGAAGACGAGGCTCCATCCTGTAGAGAGTATGCTGTGAATAGTCAGGGCTGTGCCTTTCCTCTCTTATACTCCTTTTTATAAAAATCTTGCATCTCTGCTCATCCCCTTCTCCCACCCAGTAATTACAGAAGAAAAGACACTAGATATCTGAGATCTCACATAACCTTTTACACCTGGTGTTTTCATTGTCTTGCTAACAAACCTTTCTAGTTGTCAGCCAGGGCTATGTTCTGCAACACCCAGGGTGGCAAAGATCTGTATAATGGATTTTCCCAGTTTTGCCTTGGTGATCTCTTTAGGCACATTCACCTGTCACCCTGTGTTCTGGCAGAATTTGAGTCATGCAAATTGCAAACTGGTAAATAGCAACTTTGCATATTTTGAATAGAAAAGAACACCAAGGTAGTGCTCATCATGTGTGCACAGAGAAATCTGAGCTGAGGGGGATGGAGAGCAAGGGCAGATCAAAGGTCCTAAGTATTTTCTTCAAAGTGTTTATGGTGCTTATTAAATCCATTGTATATTTATGAATTAATTTGAATTATTTACATGGTCAACCTTTGAGACAATAACCCGACTTAATCAAAGCATGAAAATGTATCATTTCTCTTTGAAATCTGGAAATGGGGCAGGGAGCAACTCAGTGGCTAAAGGCACTTGCTGTCAAGCCTGATGACCTGAGTTTGATTTCCTGGACCCACAGGGTGGAAGAGAACCAACTCCCTCAGGTTGTCCTCTGACCTCTGCACACACCACAGCACCTACACACACAATAATAAGCAAATAAATGTAATTTTAAAAACCTGGAGGTCAATTTAAAGCACCAGGACTTCTTGCCTGGTTACAAATTTGCTACTGTTAGGCTAAATGACATTTCAGAAAGCAAGAGAACAGGGCCATGTATTTCTTAGGGAAGTTGATAAATTCCCAGTGAGACGGATTCTCCTGCACAGCCAACCCTTGAGTGATAAATTTCTTAAGCAAAAGGTCTTTAAAGTTCTGTTTACCTGTAAATATCATGCAGTCTGACATGAGGGTGCCCAGCCTCTGAAATTTCAGTGTAGAAGAAAATGGCATGATAAGAATGGTTAGATTTTCATTATATTATGGGCAAAGTATCAATTTTAGTGAAATGTTGGGATTTGTAAGAATTTTTTAGTTTTACTACTGAAATGAAATCCAAAATTCTTGTCAAGTTAAAAAGAATCACAATTGAACTATTCTTTTTTTGTTTGTTTGCTTGTTTTTATTTTTTAAGACAGGGTCTCTCTGTAGCTTTGGAGCCTGTCCTGGAACTCGCTCTGTGACCAGGCTGGCCTTGAACTCACAGAGATCTGCCTGTCTCTGCCTCCCGTATGCTGGAATTAAAGCTGTGTGTCACCACAGCCTGGAACTATTCTTAAATCCACGTTCCCAGTGTGATTTGGTTTAAAAAAACAAAAAAAAAGGAGTTGCTGCCCACATCTTTCTTTATGGTGATTTTCTCCTTCTCCTCCTCCTTCTCTTCCTCTTCCTCCCCCTTTTCCTTTTCCTTCTCTTCCTCCTTCTTGCTACTTAGCTGTCGACAAAGAATTTTTTGAGAACGATAAATGTTGCATCTCTATAAAGACAAGAGTAACACAAGAGCCGAGAAGGTGGAGCTTTCGGAGGTAGAGCTAACAGCTTGCTTCTTGAATATTTTATGAGATCTAGGTATTAGAATGAGGCTTCTGAAGCAGGAACACAGAGATCTAGGAACAAAAGAGCAGGGATGAGAGAACAGACTGTGAAATGGCTTAAAAATGTGAAATGATCTTAATGTTGAACTCAGGAGTGGAATGACGGTGTCACTGCAGAGTATTCCAAGTAAGGGCTCTAAAAGTATAATGATTTATTGATTGAACCTGCGCTAATGATGTGCCCTGATTATGCATGGGTAAATAAGAGGGCTGATTTATGAGGGTGCGATTGGATCTTTCAGATATATTTGGTCCAAGTCTACATATTGAAAATAAATGAAGGTAATTACCTGGGCATTCCAGGGGAGGACTCTTCCCACACTGGTTTGGAGACAGTGTAGTGTGTTAGGTAAAGAGGAGGAAAAGAGGGGTGCTGAGGGGATGGAGCCAGATTCTAGAGAATTGAAGAAGAAACAGGGAAAAGAATAAGTTATTGAGAAATAGCCCCTGCTTCCTAAGAGGAAGAAAAGTAGATTTCTGGGTGCTGCTAGATAGCAATGTTTTCTTTTTTAAAAATGAAGAAAAAAGACATTATAAGAAATTGTCTTGTTAAAGCAACTGCACAAGGAGCGTGTGTAAGGAAATCGGGCTTTTCATTCAGGTAGGTTTTAAAAGCCCCAAAGAAGAGAGACAGGCGAAGAGAAGCAACGTTATCCACTGGTATCCTCTCTGCTTTTCATACAGCAACCTCGAGAAGCTTGCAGCTTCATTGAACAGGGCGTTTGTCTCCTGATAAAGACTCGTCTTTATTTCTTCCAGGATATAAAACTTGTATTTAAATCAATTCAGAGAAGCATTCTGACTTTAAACAAGCACAAGTGGGGAGAACCCATTTAATGAAACAGCATTATTTCGTTTTCAAAGAATAATCCTGGCAGTAGCTGTGAGTTAAGATTTCTGCATTCTTTCCCTCAATTATAATTATAGCTGAGTCTGAAAAGAAGCATGCCTATTACTGTCATATGTATTCTTCTGACAGGTGTTGTGGGACTGTAATTTGATGAAGCCACTCAAAATGCAGACTCCCTTCCAAACATAATTCCTGTCATCAACACCAGGGGTTTAGGACAGTCCTCCAGAAGCCTTTACAAAGATCTTGAGCACCCCTAATATTCTAGCACAATCCAATCTTGGGAATATGAGGAAGAGCTTGCCTTCAGTTTGTGTTTCCAAGCTAGTAAGGAAGACAAGAGAAACAAGTTGGCTTTGGGGAAGGCCAA